TCAACAAAAAAGAAAAGAAAAAGTTATTGCCAAAAAAATTGCTGCAACGTTCACTTTTTATTATTTTTTGATAGCTGCTAAACAAAGTGCGCGCATATGTGCATATAAGTATCTGTATCTGTATCTGTATCTGTAGCTGTAGCTGTAGCTGTAGCTGTAGCTGTAGCTGTAGGCTGCGTTTTGCTGACACTATATCTGTGTGTGTGTGTGTGTGTGTGTGTGTGCGCGTGTGTGTGTGTGTGTGCATGAGCTGATAAGCGGCTGCTGCTGCTGCCTTCCAGTATTTACTTTGTACGCGCTTTTAATTGGTTTTTTGTGCTACATTTTTTCTTCTGTCCACTTTTTCTTTATATTGCGCTTTTTGCAGTCTGCGTTTCAATTTGAGCGCTCAGTTTGATTTTTCCTGTTCGCAGACAACGTGCGCAGTTGTCTATTAAAAAATTAAATAATACATTAACCAACACATTCAAAGTCCAGTCAAATGTGTGTGTAATTGCGGCTCCTACATAAACAAAGATAATTTCTATTAATAGTCAAAATCATGCAAAATGTGTATTTATATGTAAACGATTTTTGTAAATATTTTGTTGCCTATCCAAAAGGCGCGCATGCGTTATGCAAACTTTGAGCGCCTTTCTATGCAATTCTCATAGATTCATGTACAGCTGATAAGTTTTAATACTGTTTCGTGAGATTTACATTTAAAGCTTTTATTCTTATTGCTTTTAAGTGGAAACATATTTTTGTATATATACATTTTTTTATTTTATAAAATATAATTAATTAATACTTTTCTCTTACTTTCAGATAACACTGCCATATTGCAACACAGAAGTAACTGACTAAAAACAACGCGATTAACAACCAAAACTACCTCGTTGCTGGCCAGGCACAACAAACAAGCGCACACCCACACACACACACACACATCAAAACTGATTGCTGTTTGGCCAAGAAGAAAGCGAAGGCTGCGCCGCAATTGAAAGTTAAAGCATTGCCAATGTAGCTGCCCCACCTCTAGTAAAATGGAACAACAAATATCCAAGGAGCACTAAGAACAAGCAGAAGGAGCAGCAGCAGCAGAAGAAGAAGCAGCATAAGCAGAGCAAAACAGGAGCAGCAGCAGACGCAACAGCCAGCAGGCATACATTACGTATACGCAACGTGCAGCATGATGAAGAGCCAAAGCGATGTCGAGGCGCCGCCAACAGCAGCTGCAGCTGCAGGAAATGGACAACAGAAGCCAACGAATGGCCACAGCAATGGGAATGGGAATGGCAATGGCTATCATCAGAATGGAGGCGGTAGGCGTGACTCGACGCAGGCGTTCACGCCGCTGCTGGCGCAGCACAATAGCACACTTGGGGAGGCGGCAACGCCGGCCGCCACGCCCACAACGATGCTGTACGAAAGCACGCCGAGCAACAACAACGAGTGGAAGGCATCGGAGGACATTAACAATTTGAAGAACGGGCTGCTGAGCAACAACAATGGCAACGGGCACAACGGGCGCAGTCTGCGCGAAAAGTATGCGCACGAGCAGGCGCCGCTGACCGGCGGCTACAAGCTGCCCGGCGGCGGCGGAGTTGGAGGTGGTGGCGGTGGTGTTGGAGGTGGTGCACGTGCACATGGCAGCGAATCGGAGGAATCGGATTTCGATTCGGATTTAAATGGCGGCGGCGACGAGGGCTCCAATTGCGGGCTCTTCGGCTGCCGGCCACGTTGGGCGCGTCGGTTTGCGTCGACGCACGTGTTCATGGTGGTGTTCCTGCTGGCGTATATTTTGCAGGGCATGTACATGACGTACTTTGTGTCTGTGATCACCACCATTGAGAAGCTCTTCCAGATCAAGTCCAAGACGACGGGCTTTCTGTTGAGCGCCAGCGAGATGGGCCAAATCAGCACCGCGATGCTGCTCACATATTTTGCCGGGCGTGGCCATCGTCCCAGATGGATCGCCTGCGGCATGGTGCTCTTCTCCATAGCGGCGTTCGCCTGCGCCCTGCCGCACTTCATCTTCGGCGAGCAGCTGATGCAGTCTAGCGTTTTCCTCCAGCCGCAGTCGCCCGCCCCGTCATCGTCCGCGTCCGCATCCGCTTCGTCGCACAATCTGTGGAGCAATGCCACAGATCCGAATCTCTGCGTGCTGGGCGGCAACGGCACACTGGCAGGCAGCGAGTGCAACGAGCAGCGTCAGCTGGAGCAGGCCTCACACTCCAAGATCACGGTCATTGTGCTGTGCATCTTCTTCGGCAGTCTGCTCAGCTCGGGCATTGGCCAGACCGCGGTGGCCACCCTGGGCATACCCTACATCGACGACAATGTGGGCAGCAAACAGTCGCCCATGTACATGGCGGTCACCATTGGCATGCGCATCCTGGGCCCCGCCTCTGGCTTTATTGTGGGCAGCTTCTGTACGCGCTGGTATGTCAATTTCGCCAATCCCGGCTTTGATGCCAGCGATCCGCGCTGGATTGGTGCCTGGTGGCTGGGACCCGTCGCCATTGGCAGCCTCATGCTGCTCGCCTCCATTGCCATGTTCTCATTTCCCAAGCAGCTGCGCGGCAAGCAGCAGGCACAGGCACAGGCAACAGGAGCTGTCGGTGCATCCGCGCCAGAGCTGGAGGAGAAGCCCAAGCTGAAGGGTGAGCAGCAGCAGCAGGCGCCACAATTTCGAAGAGCCTTTCCATTAACAGATTTGCTTGTTTAGATTTTCCGAAGACCGTGCGCCGCCAGCTCAGCAACGATATACTCATGTTCCGCACGGCGTCGTGCGTGTTTCATCTGCTGCCCATTGCCGGGCTGTATACGTTCCTGCCCAAGTATCTGGAGACACAGTTCCGTCTGGCCACCTACGATGCGAACATGATAGCCGCCTTCTGCGGCATCCTGGTCATGGGCATTGGCATTGTAATCTCAGGTCTATTCATATTGAAGCGCAAGCCAACAGCCAGGGGCGTCGCCGCCTGGATAGCATTTACCGCGCTCGTCTATTCCGCCGGAATGATTATACTCATGTTCATTGGCTGCAGCACCAACGACTTTGCCGGCTATAAGGCGGGCGATGCCAACAGGTGGATGCAGCTCAACTAACTGGGAATTTGACTCTAAAGGTTTCTCCTACTCTTTGCAGCCCGGCCATGATAGAGCCCGCCTGCAGCGCCGTGCTCAACTGTACCTGTGATAAGGAGAATTTTGCGCCCATTTGCGGCACCGATGGCAAAATGTACATCTCGGCCTGCCATGCCGGCTGCAGCAGCTCCACGCTGCGCGCCAGCGACAATCGCACACTCTACTCCGACTGTGCCTGCATTCCACATGGTAAATCTTAATATCCGCCAATTGGAGCTGGGCATTCACTTTCATCTCATGTCCATTTCAGTCGCCGAGGCAGTCAATGGTTACTGTGATAATAACTGCAAGAACTTCATCTACTTTATATTGATTTTTGCCATTTGCGTATTTATGCATTCCACCTCCGAGGTGGGCAGCATGCTGCTCGTCATGCGCTGCACACATCCTAAAGGTGAGTCAACAAATCTGGCAGAGAATTTCCCACTGAAATACACTTCCATTCCAGATAAAGCCATGGCCATGGGCGTCATTCAGTCGGCCATCGGCCTGTTTGGTAATGTTCCTTGTCCGATCATCTATGGCGCCGTGGTGGACTCGGCCTGTCTCATCTGGAAGTCGGTTTGCGGCAAGCATGGCGCCTGTTCGCTCTACGATGCGGATACCTTTAGGCAATACTTTCTGGGTAAGCTGCCAATACTTTCTGGAACAGAAGCTGCACGAACTAAACTTCTCTCTCTCTCTCTCTCTCCACACTGCAGGCATAACGGCTGGCATTATGTTTCTGGCGTTTCTCATGGATCTGGTCGTCTGGCGGAAGGCGCATCGCATCGATATTGCGCCCGATCAGCCGGAAGGGGCGGCGCATGCGCCGGCCACACGCTTGGATCTGTCCGAGTCCAAGCAGCCCATTGCGCCGCCTCCGGATACGACGGTCTAAGCGCGACGAGAGAAAGCTAATCCGAAGCAAAAGAAAACAAAAACAAAAACACACATTGCAAGATTTCCAATAAATGTTTACCTTAATTGTTAATTAGTTATCATTTTGTCTAGTTTTTTAGCCCTAGTGCAAGAGTTATGTATTTAGTTAAGCGGTCTTTTCTGGACTCCGGAAAACCTCAATTAAAATTTATAAAGCGCTCATATATAAAATACGTACGTACAATGCTTATATACATACATACACATATAACATATATAATTAAATTCTTCGTGTAAATCTCAACTTTATAGAAATATAGAAATTGTCTAAATACATCTGTAGAATTACATATTATATAGTAATTTTACAGTTCATATATGCGACCATAATACACAAGTTAATGTACTTTGTAACAAGAGCAAAACATTTATTATATACACACAACAATACGAAATCTACATAACTTTATATATGTTTTATGTATGCATCTATATATACATATACATATATATATATGTATATATATGTGTATAATATATAATTGCAACCTATCTGTGGTAGTTAAATTTTAGTTAAAATTCAAAATAAATGCCTAAGTTTGTCATATAAAAGAAATACGAAAAGAAATTAATGGAAATATAAATTATGTTTAAAGTGTAACGACTCGATTGTTAATTTAATATTGAATTGTAAGTAAAGTATTTAATTATATTCTAATCTTTATTTATGTATGTGTGATTGTGTGTATGTAAATATGTGCGCTTGCATGTACTCATACATGTGTATATGTATATATGTATACATTATGTATGTATGCATATCTGTATGTTTGACTGTTTTACTTCCAGCTCGGCTTATTTGAATTTGTAATTCTGTTAAGCCTATCGATAATAAAACATATCGATAGCTTGTGCATAGAATTAACAGACTGTTGTCAGTCGTTTAACATAACAGCTGGCCAGCACAGCAGTCAACTGTTAAGCATAAAAGCTTCATTTGTGTATAAAATAGAGTGTACAAGTTCATTTGTAAGCTAGTGCTTTGTTTATAAACTTACATTTTGTTGTTATAAAACAGCTTAAAAACGAAACCTTTAGAAACTATCCGGTTTGGCAAGAACTGCATTGGAATAATGAGCATACCACTGAAGCACTTCAAGAAAGGTAAGTTGCGGCGTCAATGTCACCCAGAAGACCTTGAAAACCAGCCGGGAACACGTTTTAGCCGATATCACATGATAGATTAGACAGATAAATAAGTAGTGCGCTTCTATTCCACTGACGTCGCAGCCAACTCACTGCTCTGCCCTGCTCTGTGCATGCGTCATCAACAGGTACACCCAAGCCAAGCCTGCCAGAGGATGGAGTCTTGCGCCTCTACCTCATGCGCTTCTGTCCGTACTCGGAACGCGCTGCCTTGGTTCTGGCTGCCAAGCAGATTCCACATCACAAAATCTATATTGATCTGAGCGAGAAGCCCGAGTGGTATACCGATTACAGCCCCCTGGGCAAAGTGCCAGCCATTCAGCTGACCGCCGTGGATGGCCAGCCGGCGCTGGTGGAGTCGCTTGTCATAGCCGAGTATCTGGATGAGCAGTACCCGGGGCGCTCGCTGTTTCCCGCAGATCCCTTGCAAAAGGCCCAGGACAAAATACTGATTGAGCGTCTGGCACCAGCCGTAAGCGCTGTGTATCCAGTTCTGTTTACCAAGAATCCGCCAGCCGATGCGCTGCCAAACTTCGAGCAGGCCTTGGACGTGTTCGAGCAGGAGTTAACCAAACGTGGCACGCCCTATTTCGGTGGCCAGCAGATTGGCATGGTGGACTACATGATCTGGCCCTGGTTCGAGCGCTTCCCAGCCCTCAAATTCGTACACGCCGATAAATACGAGCTGGATAAAACGCGCTATGCGAAGCTGTTGCAGTGGGTCGAACTGGTGGCTCAGGATGAGGCAATCAAGCAAACGGCGCTGGACAGCCAGGTGCATGCCAAATTCATGGCCACGCGCCAGGCTGGAGAGCCCAACTATGATGTGGCCTTCGAGGCCGTCTAGTGAGCAATCTCTTGTTGGAATTATACAGGCTAGATAATAAATCCCAATTGATATTAGATCGGAACTTCTATAGATCTTGTATGCCTAGCAAATAATTATATACTCCCTCCCTCTGCAGGCTCTGCCAAGCCGGAGCTGCCCGAGGATGGCCTTTTGCGTCTCTACTGCATGCACTTCTGCCCCTTTTCGCAACGTGTGCGTCTTCCGCTGGATGCCAAGCAAATACCGCATCATAGGATCTACATTGATCTGATCGACAAGCCGGAATGGTATCGGGAATACAGCCCGTTGGGCAAAGTGCCCGCCTTGCAGCTAACCCATCTGGCGGGTCAGCCAACACTTGTGGAGTCTCTCATCATAGCGGCGTATTTGGATGAGCAATATCCGCAGCGACCGCTCTATCCCACTGATCCGCTGCAAAAGGCACTGGACAAGATTCTAATTGAACGCTTTGTGCCCGTCGTGAGTGCCGTCTATCCGGTGCTGACCTGCAACAAGGATGCGCCGGCGGATGCGCTGGAGAACTTTGAGTCTGCGCTGGATGTCTTCGAGCAGGAGCTAACTAAGCGCGGCACGCCCTATTTTGGTGGCCAGCAAATTGGCATTGTAGACTACATGATCTGGCCGTGGTTCGAGCGCATACCCAGCCTCAAATACACCACGGAGCAGCACTACGAGCTAAATGCCCAGCGATATGAACAGCTGGTAAGTGGCTGTCGATATGTTTCCAATCAATCTAAAGCTAATCCGCTGCCTAAACTTCAGCTTAAATGGTGTCAATTGCTTGCACAGGATGCGATTGTTAAGCTAAGTGCCCTGGATGCCCAACTGCATGCCAAGTTCCAGCAGTCGAAGCGGCTGGGCAAGCCCCAATATGATGTCGGCTTTGAGGATTAGCTCAAGCAATTTATTGATGCTTTAAATTCGAATAAAGATGCAGGCGCTACTCATGCATCCTTCACCAGAAGATTATAATTGGGTTTACCAGCGCTGCGCGTACGCAAGAATTCAGCCTGCACCTCAGCTTCCATATAGAATGCCATCACAGCGGGATCACGTTTCATGCGGTCCAGCCACTGCGTCTGTAAAGGATTATCAGGATCATCAGTCTGCAGGCGCTGGAGGTATCACTGACTCAAGCACTCACCAGCTGTGGAAAGCGCTGCTCATCATAGTTGTAGTCATCGCCGCGCTGCAGCTGGAGCAGCTCCAGACGCTCGCACCAGGGCCAGATCATGTAGTCCAATATGCCAGTTTGTTCGCCGCCAAAGAAGGGCGTGTCACGCCTGCTCAACTCATGCTCGTATTTGTCCAGGCCGCACCAGAAGGGCTCCAGCTCACCGCCATCGGATGCCTTGAAGAAGGCGCCCAGCACGGCTCCAAAGCGCTCAATGAGCAGCTTCTCCTGCACCTTTTTCAGCGGATCACGCGGATAGAGCGGACGCAGTGGATACTGCTCATCGAGGTACTCGCAGATGAGCAACGATTCGGTCAGCACGGGCGGGCCAGGCTCACGCACCAGCTCCAGCGCCGGCACCTTGCCCAGCGGATTCTTTTCGAAAAGCCAGTCTGGTTTCTCTGTGAGATTTATGTAGATGCTGTGATAGGGTATCTGTTTGGCGTCCAGTACCAGATGCACACGCTGCGCAAACGGACAGAAGCGCATGGAGTACAAACGAAGAATGCCATCCTCGGGCACATCGGGCGTCGCTGAGCCTGCCGAGTGAACGCCGTGAGCGGTTGCTCGAAACTTGAATCAACTGACAAGCTGCTTACCTTTTGCCAAATGTCTGCCGCTGCTCATGATGCGTGCCTGAGAAGCAACTGGTGCCGCGAACCGCGCTAGCTAGCCATTTTATAAAGTGGCCGACGGAGGCGCCCTTCGCCTGCCGGTTCACATTACTCGACTGAACTTGGCGGGCTGTGTGTCAACGATAACCTTTTGAGGCGGCGCTTCAATGGCTTGCATTGTCGTCGCAGATGTCGCATACAGTGTAACTGGGACTAGGTAGACACGTGCAAGCCAATACAAAGTCGTATACATAAAAACTTCGCTTGCCTAGGCACTTTTCATATGCGGTTATCTCTTTTAGCTGGACAATTTCATTTTTATATTTTAGTCACTAAATTCAGACCTAACTGAAAAGCTAACGCTTCGATCCAATGGCTCGCCTTATACTTCCAGGTGAAGTATCTCGTATTAATCTTTATTTTCTGTATATTGATAAACTGATCCGACTCACAATTTAAACCTTCCTAGCTCAACCTAGTGGAACTCTCCTGGAGGTAGAGGCATACAAAAATTACGTCTGCTTTAACCAAAAACTTTATTCTATTCTCAAATCTTACAAAGTGCAAACCCAAAATCGATCAGATCTTAGCAAGCCAATTGTACGGATTAGATAACACAACCTTTGATTAAAGGAGTCAGGCGAGCAGGTCGTAGCTGGCATTGCCTGCTTTGCGGGTGCGCCAAAACTCGACATGCTGCTCGGGCGTGGCAAAGAAGGTTTTGACCACATCATCCTTGAGCAGGAGCTCAATCCAGGCGCTCAACTTGGCAAAGCGCTGGCTATCGAAGCTGTAGCGCTCGCCGAGCACATACTTGAGCACAGCCAAACGCTCGAACCAGGGCCAAATCATGTAGTCCACAAAGCCCGGCTTGTCGCCGCCAAAATAGGGCGTGCCACGCTTGCCCAGCTCCTCCTCGAATATGTCCAAGGCAGCCCAGAGCTCGTCGGGTGATGCATCGTGCAGCAGAATCTTCATGTAGCTGCCGGTGACACCACTAAAACGCTCCACCAATATCTTATCCTGAGCACGCTGCAGTGCATCCTTCGGCAGCAGCGGGCTCTGCGGATACTTCTCGTCCAGATACTCAGAAATGATAAGGGACTCGATCAGTGATGGCTGGCCCTTTTCGGCAACCAGATGCAAGGCAGGCACTTTCAGCAGAGGACTGACCTCCACCAGCCACTCGGGCTTCTCTGTTAGATTGATATAGACGCTATGATGAGGCACCTTCTTGGCATTCAGGACCAGATGGGCGCGCTGCGCATATGGACAGAAGCGCATGGAGTAAAGGCGGGGCACGCCATCGTCCGGCAGCGCAGGCCTGGCGGAACCTACAGCAAGAAAAATCAATTGTGACTCAGCAATTTGTGGGCAGTACAAACACGATAAGAATGTTCACCATGAATTCGCGTATTTGCTAATATTGTAAACTTGTTTTTCTCCGGTTGACACGCGGCATATGCGTGTCTTGTTGAGGCTTGTCTGCGATCTACATACCTTTGGCTAAATGTTTTCCAGAGCTCATAATTAGAGGTTGAAGTTTGATGCGGCCAAAAAAATTCGTTTTGGAAAATAACTTAAAATTCTGCTTCTAGTTTAACGAAAACGTCAATTGCTCGCCAATGTCAGCAGGCAACTAACCAGAACGACACATTTTTCTTCTAGAGCCGAGCACTGCCTCAGAGCTTTTATTGCTGCTAAATACTTTATCCTCATAACTTCAGGTTGCCTTGGAAACGCTACGCATGACTATTCAGTTTTGTTTTGGTTTTCTGATGCGATCGATAGCTTCGAACTTCGGGTAATTGAAAATTACATGTTAAAGTAAGAGAAAATCATTGCCAGCGATTTTATTGCACGTTCTCTGTAGTCAACATTCTATGGAGCGAGCTCGAAGAGCGCAAACTTTTGCTCTCTCACATTCGCACTCTCTTAAGTACTGGCGCTTTTTGTGCTTATTTTAAAACGATTTCTTGTTGTTGTTCTTGTTCTACCTTTCGGTCGATAGCTTCGAACTTCGGGTTATTGGAAAACATGTTCAAATAAGAGAAAATCATTGCCAGCGGTTTTATTGCACGTTCTCTGTAGTCAAAATTCTATGGAGCGAGCTCGAAGAGCGCAAGCTTTTGCTCTCTCACATTCGCACTCTCTTAAGTACTGGCGCTTTTTGTGCTTAATTAAAAACGATTTCTTGTTTATTATGCGAATAAAACGCATTGGCTACATATTCGATTTTTAGTTGTACACATTTGTGTACGTTTGTGTGTGTGAACACGCATGCACATACACGCACGCGGTTGCTCAGCACGTCAAGAATCACACTCACTTGTAAATACATATATGTATATATATATATGTGTGCTCACACATACTTATACACGTTGGTTTGTTGGTGTGAATGTTTGTAAATTGAAGAAATGCCGCTTTACAACTTTAATATTTTAATTGAATTGTCAACTACCAAGTACACACACACATTTAGATGAGTAACTTTTGTTGGTTTTTCGGCGGCCTTCAAAAAATTAACTTATCCTATTTACAAAACTCTTAAAAACTCTATGGAAATAAGTGTTTATAAAAATATACGTACACATTTTTGAAATATAAAATATTAAATAATTAAATAAAAACTTAAACGCTGCGTTCAAATTACAAACGAACATTCATTTCACATTAAATATTTGACAATTTGTTAAGATTAGCAAATGCTAAATCCGAAAAAAAAAATTAATTACATAATTGTTTACTTTTCTTCAAATTTTTTTATACGCTTAAATGTTAAATGTTTCGATTGGGGATTTTGGTTTAATTGCGCCTTGTTGTTCGCGAATGGGGAGGGGGATTAAAGTTTAAAACTACATAGATTTAAAAATACTACAGAGTTAAATAATTAATCGTATGGTTTTTGTTTTTTATTTGTTTTTGGTTTTGTTTTGCATCGTTGCCTGACGATTCCGATTCTAAGTTTCGTTTACAGTTTCGTTTCAAGTTTGTCTTCTTGTTGTTTTAGTTAAGTAATTTGTTTGCTCTTCCTCTTCCTGTTTCCCTTTTGTAGTTTTACATTTGTTGCTCTATAAAATATGCTGTGTTTGCGGCATTTTGATCACGGTTCTTGCTGTTTCGTATAAATATTTATCTCGATTTTTCTTTTTGATTAATGGAACGACTTGATTTTTTCAAAAAATGTTCATCTTATTGCTTCTCTCACTCGTGGCCTGACTTCTGGTGGTCTTGTTGTAGTTTTTGTTGTTGCAGCTTTTGCTGTGGATCTGCCTGTGCCCGATCTGGCAGCAGGATTCATGCCGGCGACGTCAGACCCGGCGACGCAGTTGTGGCACCATTGCCATTGCCCCTGCTGCTCAGGCTCTGGCCACCCTGCCGGCTGGCATTGATGTACTTTTTATGGGCCACAGCCGCTGTGCCGGCACCTGAGCTGGCGGCTGTGTGTTGGATTTGGCTGACGGCGGCAGTCGAAGAGTTGTTGTTGCTGCTGCTGCTGCTGCTGTGGACAAGTGAACAGAGAGTTCAACATATGCTCGATTAGGCAGGTCTTTAGGACACACACCCCTTCTGTTCGCCATCCTTTTTGCTATTGAACATGGCCAGTTCGATTTCCGTGTGTTGGCTATTCATGTGACGCACCCATTCCGCGGGCGTTTCAAAGGAGCTGCAACAGAGCGCAACGAGATTAAATATTTTGGGCATGGGCGTTGGCGTTGCCAAATGATCTTACGTGGAGCAGAGGTCACAGAGCAGTGTCACATGATCCATGTTGTTCTCCTGTTGCTGTGAATGCGAATGAGGAGGGATGGGTAGAGATAAGGGCTTGCCCAATACAGCAGCTGCTCCAACGGCACTCACCGACACTCTGCGTCGCTTCTTTGGCACATAGGTTTTCAATGCTCTCAGCGCCAGGTTGCTGTTGGCTGTGGCGCTGCCGCTGCTGCTCCCGGTGCCACTGGCGCTGGCGCCCATCACATTGCCGGCTGGCTCGGCGGCATGTGTGCCCAGGTGGCGCACCAGCATCTTGGTGTCCTCGAAGGATTTCTGGCATATTTCGCAAACGAGCAGCTTGAAATTGTTGTAATCGCGCAGCGTGTGCTCCTCGGACTCGTCCTGCTGCGAGCTGTTTGCCTCCAGCTTGACGGCGTTTATCTTAAAGTCCAGCGGCTGCTTCGGCGAGAGCGGCGCCTCCTGACTGATCTCGTGGTGGTTCTCGTTGGGCAACGCTGCCGGTGGATTATTTGACCAATCGGTTGGCTCTTGTTTAATGGTCAGAAAACTGTGCGGATGCGGCGGTGTGGCCAGGCGTGGCGCAACTGCAGCCGCCACATCGTAGGACTTTACCACATGCTCATAGTGCGGGCCATCGTGCGCAAAGTACTCATGCGGTGGGGCTAAAAATACAAGTTTATGCGATGAAAACGGTTGCTTTTCTGGAGAATTGCAAATCTTTACCTCGATCACAGGAACGCTCGCGGCGCAGACGTCGCTCGTAGACCAGGCCGACATCATCTCGGTCGCGTTCACAGATTGGCTCCTCCACAAGACGATCCCGATCTGCATACTCCGGCCGGCGTAGCGTCGAGTCCGCCGGCTCGGCGGACGACGCAGCCAGCGGGCAGCTGCTGCAACCAACTTCTGTGCATATGGACATGGGCGGTGGGGGTGGAGGTGGTGCAGCGACAGCTGTTGCTGTTGTTGACTGTGGTAGACTTTCGACTTGACTGGCTGCCGCATAGCAGCACTTGTCCTCGGGATCGATGGCCACCTCCTTGTTGACGGAGATACCACCAACGCCACCATGCAGCTTGCTGCTGCTCGCCACGCTCAGCAGACCCGTGTGTGTGGCCATTTTGGGTGATTTGACAATCACCGGACTGTCCTTTGGCATTACGGAAGCGCCCAAGCCGCGAAACTGCTGCTGTTGATGATGGTGCTGGTGCTGGTGCGGATGCGTGTGCAGATGATCCAGGCTGTAACGCGCTGAGCTGCTGCTGTTGCTGCTGCTGCTGGCCTTGGTGCTGTACATATCACTGGGAAGCTGTGCTGACGACATGGGCGGTGGCGGCGCCAGTGTGGAGCGCGTGCCATTCGATACATACAGAGCGCTGGATTCGCGCGGGTGGTGCAGGTGGTGTGCATGGGATTGGCCCGACGCAGAGTTGCCGCCAACGCTGGAAGCGCTGGTGCGACAAAGACCGCGTATTTTTAAGATCTCACCGCCACGCAACACCTCATTCAGAATATCATTGGAGACGGTAGCTTCCCCGCTGTACATATACTGCACTAGGATTTGTATGGCACGATGACTCAGATCGGGCGGAAGCACAATATAGAGGACGCCGTTGGGCGCCGTAATTGGCGCTGTCTCGAACATGGTGGCAAAGAACTGGCTGCAGGAGCTCAGAATGAATTTGTGCGCCGATATGCCCACCGTGGGTATATCCGAATTGATGCCATTGTTGCTATACGAACTGTACAGCATAACGTCAGCAAACTTCTCATTCCTGCAAGTTGGGTGGTTAATAGCTGTCTGCGAGCATTATTTGTATACTTACTTGTAGAGCGTGGCTATGGAAGTGTTCAAATAGGACAAATGCGAGTCCCATTTCAGGTGATAGTTTTCGGCGGCCATTTTTTCGGCCTGATAGCGTTAGTTGAACGCAACTGTTGTCCCCTGTGGCCGTTTGTTTGGTACATAAAAAACATAATCAATAATTTAATCAATAAGTGGCGCGCAAAATGAAACGAAATATCCGCTGAACGTTGTGCAACACTGCGCGCATGTTGTTATCGAAATGTTTATCGACTTATCGAATTGTGTTTGTTTTGATGCACTGCGGCGCATGCATTAGCTAAATTGTTTGTTTATTTTTAAGAATAATGTGCACGAGTGCAGAATTTGATAATCGTCTTATTGAGCTGGTGCGCGCCAATCCCAGTCTGTACGAACGCGAACTGCGGAAAACACCGTACGACGCGCACAAGAAAAAGAAAACGGAACTCTGGTGCAGCATTGCAACCTCCCTTGAAACGGACGGTAAGTGTACCCAAATTTATATAGTATATAGAATTACTATTCATTTTGCAATAACTCGTGCAAATCCCGTCGAAACTGCCAGTGAGTACTTGTATAACACGCTGGAATTTCTTACGTGAGCGTCTACGCCGAGAGTTGCTTAAGGAACACTCGGATTGGAGCTTGTTGCCAAAACTGCGATTCCTTGGACACCACAAGCACTCCGGCAGCAGCGCCCATCACCATAATGAGCACGAGCTGCCGCAGGCTATGCCCACATCGGCGCTCATAAACGTAAATTGGCGTGCACTCAGCACCGACCAGCTCATCGAACAGGATGAGGACGATGCGCTGCAGGAGGCCATGGACGAGCAGCATGTGGCTGCAGTTGTTGTGCCACCGCCAGTCCCACCACCAGCAGCAGCGCCTGCAGCTATTGCCGCGCCAACGGGCGACGACACGATGAAACGCATCGAGGCACTGCTTCAGGGTTTGGGCGCAAATCGCACCAAGGCAGAGAAGAAAGTTCTGGCCTATTTGTGCAAATGCAATCTGCGAGCGCTCAACGATGAGCAAATCGATGATATATTCATTTAAATCACAACGCACTGATTAGTCCCAAATTGTAGAGTATGTCGTTTAGTTGTTGTACGTGAAAATCGAAGACGAGACTGAAGCAAAAACAACTTCAACTATGACGCAGTTGGTTGAAGCGTTTCGTCTCGCTGTTGGTCAAAGAGTGCGCGCGCAAGCAATAACATGTCCAATAACCATGTCTGGCTGCTTTGGGTGGGGTGGAGGTGGGGGTGTTGGGTGGGTGTGTTGGGCAGACGACGCCAAACAAGCATTTAGTTTATTAATTTCGTTGACACTGTCCTGCATGAAGGCATAGGTGTAGCAAGCCCACCCCGATCTCACATACAGCTCACAGCCCCCCTTTACCCGCTGCCCTATCAGCTAATATAAGCCACTAATACTCCAGCGCCCCACGCCCACCGCCCGCCCACCTTGCCATACTTGATGTGGTGTAGTGGCCGTAGAGCGCATTAACACCACATTATCGATTGATTTGGGCAAAGGCACGCACAGAAAATCGATAAGCATGCAGAGCCAATGCAAAATCATGTATATGCTTAAATTGTTTAAACGCCGTTTGGCTGCGCATAAATCACGACAATATTTTAAGTTTCGGTTTATTTATTGCTAATAAATGTTTTTGAAAAGTACGCGCCTAAATCTTATTTAAATGTGTCTGTGTGTGTGTGTGTGTGTGTGTGTACTTAATATACGTTGTATGATTCACCTTGTGCGCTTTCCTTTTGTTTCGATAACTTAACGGTTAAATATCATTTACAAATTGGTTTCTGCTTAACTTCGTTTGTTATTTGTTATTGTTATTCTCCTTTTACAACATTTATGTAGGCACACGCACAAACACGGCGACGTTAACTGCGAACTGCGCAGCGCGTCCAAAGCTCTCGCTTGTCAGCGTACTAATAACCACGGAATAGGACTTCAAAGCTTGTCCTGGCCGCAAAAAGAGCGCTACACAAAAGGAGAGCCAGAGAGAGCAAGAGCGCAACGGAGAGCGTGAGCGTACGCGTGAGAGGACGAGCGCGTGCACTCACGTGCGCATTGTTATTGTTGTGGTTGGTTTGAAGTAACACACACACACAGACACACACAAACACGTACAAGAGGAACGCGCGTAAATTGATTTTCCTTATCGATTTTTTCTTTAGTGAGAACGTTATTTTTTCAAATTGGCTGCGTCTGCGCCTCGGCATCAGTTGCCGGAATTTCTTGTGCCAATTTCTTAGTGATTTCCTCCTGTTCCAGCTGCATTTGTGAGGCTGTCGATGTGTCCTGCTTGAATAACTCGCGCAATAACATTGTGGCATAAACGGCCGTTGGCAATGTGAACTCCAGCAGCAGGGCCGTATACTCGCCCTCTGACTCAGCGGGTTCGGGTGTTACTTCAATGTTTTTTAACTGCTCCCAGTCGGAGGCGATCAGAGTGTCCTCGTGTGTGCTGTACCGGCGGAAACTCCATTTCAAGTCGTCCGTTTGTATTAACAGTTTACGATAGGCACCGCCTAACGCATAGGTTTTCTCCTTGTGCCGCAGTTGCTCCGAGCTTAGGCCCACCTCGGCGAGCATTTCCTCATACCAAGCGGCACATTCGTTGCTGGGATATGTTATATCGTAGCCAGGCAGCGGCAGCACCACATCCGACAGCTTATATTTTCCGCCGGCAATGTCCTCGGCGCTTAATGGCCGCACTTTGCGTTTAAATATTGACTCCTCTTCCAGCAAATTGTCGGCATCACCTTCCAAGTCATCTTCGACCATTTCCTCAGATTCTGCTGGAAGGACTGGCTCTTCTGGAGCTTTGACTTCCTGACCGTTGTCGTCCTCAACATAAACCAGGTCTCCAGGTATTAGCTTCAGGCCAAACTCTTTAATGCGTCGCGATGCAATGCGATTAAAGATCAGGCTCTGATAGGCATGAGGATACAGAAGCAGCATATTGCGTGGTATGCGACGAAGAGCTGCAGCATAATCGTTCTCGCCGTATGTGGCTAGGCCATCCAGCAGTTTCTTTTCAATGAATTTATTGCCATAGAACTTGGCGGCAGCTGCAGCAGAATCCCGATTCTCCCACCAGGCCTCGCGTATGGCACGCATAAACTCCACATCGTTGTCGCGCGGCTTCAGTATCAGCTCACATGCCAGTTTATAGTCGCGTTTGAGCAGCGCCACGCCCACCTCATAGGTGGGAACACTGGCGCTATTACCGAACCGCTGCAAGCCATAATAGTTGATGAAACCGCGCTCCTTCAGTGATTGCAACGCTGCCTCGATGTGCTCCCGCGGATGTGTAATGTGGCGCAGTGCAATGCGAAACCGATTGCCCTTCAGGTCACCCAGTTTCAGCGTATCGGGCCTAAAGCTAAAGTTGCCAATGTAGACATTTCCCATGCCCCGGGCCGCATTGGCTATAGCCTCGGGCGTCCGACGCTTGATGCAAAAGCGTTGCGTGGTTTTGGCGCGTTTGTCTTTGGTGCCGCAATAATTCACCTGAGAGGGACGCAGCCTGTTGAAAAATAATTGGTAATTATACGAGTTTAAAAATACATGTCTGCTCACGTCTACTCACGTCAAACGATTGGCTAACGTTGAGGCAACCTCACTCGTGTCCATGTTGACTTTGTGCACCAAAAAGCAGACAAAGTCATGAGGAAAGTTCCATCGATTGTCAGCTGTGGGTGACAGGAAGATATGTATATAAAGTTGAAGTTAATTTCGGATACTTACAGCGACCTGGCTTGGGCTTTGAGATGCGTATGATTTTCTGCTCCTCGGCAGCGGGCACCTGTTGCTCCGGCTGCTGGTCAAGTGTCTTGGACACTAGTTTGCTCTTGTACAGCTGCTTAACAAGGAGATGTATTTGCGTGCGCTCCTCCTTGGTCAGGCTGCTAACGTTTATATCCACATTCTGGTCAGACTTGGCATCATATTTGGCTGCGGATAAGTCAGCTATCTGCTGCCACACGGTATCGTCAATAACAGTGGCCAATTTTTCACGCCATTCGTCCAGCAAAGAAGGCTCCACAGCTGCAAAGGATATACAGTTAAGACTTTCAACTAATTTACTTCAAATGTGGCTACTAACGTTCAATTTCTATCTTTGGCACTTTGAGATCGTTCAGCTGCAGCACGTGCCCTTCGGTGTCAATTTCGTTCACATGGAAATCGGAGAATCTGGATTTCAAGATCCCCGTAAAGCCAGCTATTTCTGCATTTGTAAATTCCGTTATGCCCACTTGGTTCTCGCGCAGAGTACACTTTTGCTGTGGTGCTCTGCGATGGAAGCCGGTTAGAAGAGAATATAAAAAGCTTATGCATTGTACTCCACCTGTTGCGCGGCTGTGAATGACTATTTCCATTGCTATGCTTGGCATGCTCCTTCTTTTGACCACGCCAGTTGTTTTTGTTGTACGGTTTGGATTGAAAATTCCGACGTCCTCGTCCGCGGTCCTTGCCCATTTTCAACGAATTTTTAGTACGTTTTTGTTTTTCTTCTTCTTTAATCAATATCGATATTTCTTTGAACCCACGTTTTAATCAATTTGCCATTCACATGCATGCGTATGCAACTATCGATAGACCCAACGATAGTTAAGTGGCTGCAGTGACGATGGCTTTGTTATAAAAGTTTATTGTAAAATGAAAAAAATTTCAACACGTTAAGCGAGGCAATTAAAGTCGTTTAAAATAAAAGAAAAGTGATTAAAAATTGTGATAAGAAAATAATAGTATGCTGCCACACATAAGTTCTGAGGAAAACATTCCCCCCGTGGGCAGAAAGGTGTATATAAACCCAAATTTTCATAACCAAATGGCCAGTTCGCTGCAGGCTCAAGGTCGACCCAATAGCATTGCGCTCCAGGCATGGGAACGACCAGCCATACACATCAATCCGCAATTTCTGCTGCGCCAGCGGGAATTACAGCTGCAACAGATGCAACAGCTACAGCAACAACAACTGCCGCAACAACATATTACGCATTATCAGCAAACTGTTGCTGCCGAGGTGACGCCGCCTCCAGCAAAAATCATAAGCAAAGCCAGTACTTGTCTGGTGCGGAAGCAGCCTGTGAAAGCCCACGTGCCCACGCCCGCGTCTATTCTACGCGTTCAGCCGCCTCTGGTTAGCATATCCAAGCGAAAGATCATTAGACAAGGCGCCAGTGTAGCAAAACCAGCCACAGTTACAACGGCCACGCCCACAGCTAGAACGACTCCTGCCGCCAAGCGGACCAAATACAAACTGGTGCGCGCCATATCCCTAACCGCCCACAGCAGCACACCGCTGGTCAAGAAACGTCGATCGCGCGACTTTGTAGCACGCTATGCTCTGAGACGCACAAATGATTCCATCGCAACCAGAAAGTCGAGGTACGTAGCTAGGCAATATTCATCAACTATACTCCAACTTACTTTCAAAACTTGCAGCTTAAAGTCGCATTTGTTGAAGCCCAGCGTCAACAAATCTCTTAGCATGGTTAGCATACACGGCGTCATGTACAAGAAGACAGCTAAGAATAAGCTGACCAAACTGGATGCCAGAGCTCCAGCTTTGAAGACGTTACAGTCGCCTGTGCCGAAGTCAACTAACTCCACCGGTCGCACACTGTTCGTGCGTGGCACCAAGTTCGTGTTGGATCCCTCCGGCTGCCGTTTGACGCGCGTTTCTGCCCATAGCCCACAGCTGAGCATAAACAAAAGTCTGCGTCTGCGCATCGATATTGGCGGCTTGACCTATGTATCCACGCCCAATACACAGAACGTTTTCATACGTACCACCAATCATGTGTCCCGTGCCCATCTCATGACAGCCAAGCAACGCAGCCTGCAGTTGCTCAACCGTTCCCTGGTGAAGACCAATGTGCCGTGTGCTATCTACCAACGGCTGGGCAAGTGTGCGGCACACAGTCGCGGCAAATGTCGACGGCTGCATGACAAGCGCCAAGTGGCCATCTGCCCAAGGTCAGTATAGCCAATCCACATGACATCGACTTGAACTCGTCATGGTATACTTGTAGCTTTCTGCGTGGAGAGTGCACCAAGACCGACTGCCTGCTGTCGCACAATGTGACGCTGGAGAAGATGCCTGTGTGTCGCTATTATTTGCGTGGCGTTTGTGTGCGGGAGGATTGCCCATATCTGCACAAGAAACTGAGTCGGAAGGCGGAGATATGCATTGACTTTCTACGTGGTTACTGCGCGCGCGCCGCGGATGTAAGTTTTGCGCTAAATAATCTCAAAATCTTATTAACTCCTTTGTCATTTCAAGTGCAATATGCGCCATGAGTTTGTGTGTCCGGAATATGCGCGTAGGGGCAAGTGCGAACTGACCAACTGTGTCTACTGCAAGCAAATGAAGCAACAAAAGCTGACTGCAGTCCGGCTCAAACCTAAACCTAAACCCAAACCCAAACTGTCCGTCCCCAATGATCCAGCTGTTACGAATTGCTCGGCCGAGGAAATGCCCAGCAGTTCGCGATATTTCAAGTGCGAAAGTGATGATAAGTTTCAGGTAGATCCGCAGGAGGATCAGCGGTTAGATGAGTGCTTGGGCGATGAGGACACCTCAACCGGCGGCAGCGGACCGCGTCAGCGACCCAAGCTTGGCCAGCTGCCCGCATTTATACCATTGGGTGGCGGCGGCGGCGAGGAGTGATCGATGTGACTGCCTCGGACTAATGTTTCAGGTACAAATTAATTCTTTAAAGTACGTTATTAAGTTGGCATAAGTTTTAATTTCCTTAGTGTTTAGGTTCAAAATACATCAAATAAACTTACGCCTTATTCAAAAATAAAACATTTGAATTTGGCGTTTATTAGTCACAAAACAAAATTGTGTCTTATGTGAAAAAAACCTCTATAACACACTTTACAAAAGCGTATTTACAATTAGTGATATACAAATATGTGTGTGCCTGCATTTGGAAGCTAAAACGTATCATTCTCGCCATCGTCCTCGTCATTATACTGCTCCTCCTCTTCATTCTCCACGTCGTCACCCTGCAAATTGCCGTACATTTCAATTTTGCTATCGAGAAAGTGAAAATCCTTCAGTATGTGCAACTTGTTGCTGAAGCCAGCAATCGACATGAACTTGAAGGGACTCATTTGCCACACCGCAGAGTAGCTGGCCGTGTGCTCGACAGGAATGTTAGCCTGCATCGTGCCGTTGATCGTATAGAACTGTACGTGGTTATGTTCGCCGCCAATCAGCACCGTGTCATCCACAAATTCGCACACATGCACGCGGCCGGGATAGTAAAAAACGCGTGTGCATTCCATAGAGCGCAGATGCCAAATGGCCGCACGTGGACCGCCGCCGCACACAAGCCAGTCATCGTTGACAGACACGGCACCAATCCACTTGCCCCAATCCGGACGCAGCAGTTGCGGATTTTTGTACGGCTCTATCATTGCTGTGGGTTCCTTTTGCTTGTCGCTCCAGAGTCGAACAGTGCCATCCTCGGCGCTAGAGTAGATGCGTCCATCCGGTTGGCCGACAACGCAATGGACATAGTCCGTGTGACCGCGATATTCGCGCTGTATGCGTCCATCCTCCAGATCAATTTGATAGACTACACCATTGCCACAGCCTGCGTACAGGGTATCCGTTTCGGTGCATAGCCAGAAGGAGTTGACATCAGGCACCTCAACGGCATCCACCTGTAAGGGTATTTTGATTTCCCAGGCACGTTTTGTGCTCAACGTTTGCTCCTCCTCGTCCCACTGCACGCCGTAGATGAGTCCAATGGCGCCTACTATGAGAAAGTCGCGATGGAAAGCGAGGCAATTGACGTCGACATCGCTGCCCTGTGAGAATACCTGTAGCTTATTGGGCGGTTCCTCCGTGGACTTATCCAGCTCGCTTAAGCTGCAACATAATTGTGTGTAACTTAGAAATTGTGTGCTTAAATAGCTGAAGAACTCTACCTGAGGACAAAAATATCTCCAAAAAGATTGCCAGCAAACAGGAACTTCTGTGATGTCGAAATGGTTTGAGCCAAAACGTTGTTATAAGCACGTTTTAAATCTTTTTCCCTCATTTTTTGTTTGTTTATGATTTTCCGAGTAACAAAATCTAGAACGCGGTGATTATGCCGGCTGTTCTTTACAATATCGAGTGCCGCCTATCGATTGTTAAGTATACATGGTTGTGTTAGAATAACGATATATCGATACTTTTAACTTAGTGGCAACCTTGCCGAATCTGAACTGGGGACATAATAAATTTTCAAAAATTATCCAGTTCTAATTAACGGTGTCTTTATGCACTTGTTTCATGTCACTTGAAATAATAAGGAAATGTACAATAATTTTACATTTTTTTGTGTTATTGCCATCAATTCATCCAGAATCCAGTTCCGAAAAAATGCGCTTTTGATTTTAAGCAAAGTTCAGTGACATGGGAAATATGTGCAAAGGTGAAGCAAAACAATCTCTCGGTAGCCCGAGTTAGTTTATTCACCTAATTATATGTTTCGTTTTGTAAACAAGACATTTGCGCCAATGATTTAGTAATCGTTCAAGCATTAAATTTTTCAAATTGATTGGAATCTCTCAAATCTGGGTACATTTTAAAGTTCTGTTTTATTTATAAGCCTGAATAATTTAATTTGTTTATTTGGATTTTGAACAGCCTAATTGTATTGTTGTTATGCCATTGACGATTATTGTGACAGCTCTAATTTAAATGCAAATTTTAATTATAATATGCGATCCGATCGATAATTAATTATCGATCCGTTTTAGGCGGCGCCAATTTGCCGCAAAAACCAACTGAACGAGAACAAAGTTTACACTGAAAAAATTCCACAAACGTCGTAAACTTCAAAATTGTGCCTCCCCAGCACACGCTCATTTCCAAATGCGGTTTTCCAACTTTAACTATGGAGGGTGAATATCTAGTTTTCGATCTCGTTTGATTAGCTTTTGAATATCTGGTACAAGCTGAGAAGTTGACGCATTCTAAAATCGACGGGGCCAACTAATTCATTTGACTGATTTGTATTAATGACTTTCTTTTAAATGAATTTAATACGCTTGATAAGCAATTCGCACAGGTTTTGGGAAATCCCAGACTTGCTAAAGAAAAAAAAAAACTGGCGCCAATCAATTTCTTTGCCTTCGGGCCAGATCATCTGCTTTGACTAATGATCGACGCTTCGCGATCTTGAGTATGAAATTTGTTTGTTACACTCAAGCCAAACGGATCGTCATGGGAGTTTGGTATTGGTATTGGCCCAGTATTTTATAATTATTTCTTTTTTGTTTGGGAATTCCCAAGCTCTTTGGCTATCTTTCACAGCGTTGACTTGTTTGTTGCCGTTTCTTTCTTCTTTCCCCGTTCTTGTTAGTTTTTGCTCTTTTAACGAAATTAGAATTTGGCTTCAGCATAAAACGAAACTAACCTAACCGGATCTAGTTTGCCGCAACGTATTTAAACATCTCTTATTTTATTTTATTTTACTCATTTTTTGGAAAGCAAACGTATGTGTCTTTAATCTGGGGAATACGGGACAAGGGAGGAGCTGCCGTCGACTACTGGTTCTACGCGTTCGCTGACGCTTATCATTCGCATTCGATTTGGAATGTTTCTTTTTTGTTTTTTTTGATTTGTGAATTTGTTTAGCTCAAATCAAATAAATCGCTGTGGGTTGACGTCAACGTTCGTTCGATTTGTTATGGTCATTTTGTGGGCGGGTCTAAGCCAAGGCAAATGAATTGCAACCTTTTGGGGCGGTGGGTTAATGCACCGCTCCAATGTCAAGGGTTCTTTTACTGCCTCTGGACTTCACGTCTCGTCAAGGCCAACTACTTTCTCTCGCAAGGTAAACAACATTTTGGCGCCAGTCTCGAGCCGCTGAACTTTGCTGACAACAACAAATCTCTGTCGGGTGTTTCCCTGATAAGATATTTGCATAAAATTGAAATCAAAATTTCGAATATAAATCTTGCAGCTTCTGACGGTGGCATTTTGCACACAATTCTCTGCCCTTAAATCAGAGCTGCCATTAGCTTAAATCAAATGAAATAAAATCAGTTTTTTATTGCATTTCGATCAACCAAATGAATAATGAATATATACATATACATGTATATATATATATATATCTGTATGTTTTTATGATGTGCCGAAAAACTAATTTGTGTCTGAATTGGCCTGGGCCATTCTCTATAGAGAACGGGAAGTGAAATGCCAAATACCAGATACTCGACTCGAGACTCTAGACTGTATATGAAATATTTTGCGATTTCAAGTTTTCTCATCCACGCCAATTGGCGGGGTCAAGCATTCTCGAGTTCTCGATGTAATTTTCACACCTAATGCCCCATTGAATTTGCATATTTTTCGTTTTAGCTGTTTACCCAGCCGAGGTGTGAATCAATCCAAAGAGTTTTATATGCCCCCAACGACATTTTAGAACAGAATAAAAAAACATATTTTGTCTGTTACATTTTTGTTGTATTGTTTTTATGGTATTTGTTTATTTAGTACATTTAATTAATGCGATAGACGTCGGCGGTTCTCTCATTAACAACATTCCAACTTGGCGCCAAATCAATTAACTTCCATTTCAATTTGATTATTGGCTTGATTTTTATTTATTTCGGTTTTTTTTTTTTTGGTTTTGCGCAGCTGAGCAACAAACTGGAAAACTTATAGAAAATACAAAACAAAAACATTTCTTGAGTCAAGCCGAGAAGTTGCCCACTAAAAACTAGAACTTAATTTGCATGTTTATTTGTTTATAAAACAAACGAAAAAAAAAAGAAGAAGAAGAACATAAACCCACATATAGATTCATCTTTGAATTCTGCTTAAAATCGCATGAAAGTTGCGCCCCAAAATTAACAACATTTCTCGGCAACTCCGACTCAGACTGAGACTGAGACGTAAATTAATTAATTAATAAATAAATGAAAAAAAAAAGCACATGGCGCCAAAAAAAATATATATATAAATAAATAAGCTGTTAATAATATTAAGCGGAGTTCCCGTTGTTGCGTTGTTTTTTTTTTTAGCCACTTTCAAAAAATGAGAGAGAAAAAATGCAAAGTTCGAAAACAAAAACAAACTGTCATATTGTTTTTTTGAACATAAACTGTTGAAAAATGTGCGTTTGCATAATTAAAAGCGAATTTATCACGAAATTCTGCGTGCCAGCAGACCAGTTCTCCCGTATCTCTCTTTCCCTCCCTCTCTCTCGCGCTCTCTCCCTCTTTCTCGCTCTCACTGTCTAATTGGAATTTGTGAAAATTACGCACAATCTTGGGCAAAGATCAATTGCAATTGGCCTGAACAGGAAAGCACTTGAACCCAGGCACGATAAGAGCTGTTTCTGATACGAGATCGACTTTAAAACAAGATTTTACGACTTGTTTGCTGTCATAATAACAAGCTACCGCAGCAGCAGCAGACGACAACGACGACGACGTCGTCATCGTCATCAACATGATCATCGTGACGAAGAGCGGCTCCAGATGCTGACTGGGCCCGGTTCCCGGGTCTGATCTCTCTCAGCGCGCAGCGGCTCAGCGGCTCAGACAGATAACCGGCAAAGAAATTGTTATAAAATATCACGACATCGTCAGAATGGATTTAAACCGAGGCGAACGCTTGAGCCGAGCACAACCAAAATACGCTAAACTCGTGAAGTGAATCATATTACGTGAAAACAACAAAAACAGCAACAACAACAACAACATAAACATTATCAACAAGTGACAACAAGTGACAACAAAATGACAACATTGAGTGTGAGGCTCAGTTTGGGCCTGCTGCTGGCCGTGCTGTGCCAGCTGGCGCCCAGCGCCGGCTATGCCATTGGCCAGGCCAAGTTTGGCAATATCGAAAAGTTCCCCTACCAAGTGATGCTCATCGGCAAACAGCTGTGGCGCAAACGCATCCTCTGCGGCGGCACATTGCTGGACAAGCGCTGGGTACTCACAGCTGGGCACTGCACCATGGGCGTCACACATTTCGATGTCTATCTGGGCACGCGGAGCGTGGACGCCACGGAGCAGCTGGGCGGCCTGGTGTTGCGCTCCAATAAGTTCATAGTGCACGAACGCTTCAATCCCGAGACGGCGGCGAATGATATAGCGCTGGTCAAGCTGCCGCAGGAAGTGACCTTTACGTCGCGTATACGGCCGGCGGCGCTGCCCGGCAGCAGGCAGCGTCTGGAGCCGTTTACGGGCAGCAGTGTGGTGGCCAGTGGCTGGGGCGCCATGGTCGAGATGACCAACTCGGATGCGATGCAGTATACCGAGCTGAAGGTGATCTCCAATGCCGAATGCGCCGAGGAGTACGATGTGGTCACGGCGGGCGTGCTGTGCGCCAAGGGCCTGAAGGACGAGACCGTCTGCACTGGCGACTCCGGCGGCCCGCTGGTGCTCAAGGGCACGCACACATTGGTGGGCATCACCAGCTTCGGGCCCGCCGACGGCGAGGGTGGCGGCGGCTGCGAACGCACCAGCATTCCCGGCGGATTCACGCGCGTCACCCACTATCTGGACTGGATCGAGAGCAAGATTGGCAGCCAGGCTCAGGCCCAGGCTCAACGGCATCCACAGCATCCGCAGCAGCCGCAGCACGTTTATCGGGATGATAATCTCATTTAGATTGTGTGCTTTGTGATCTTAACTTTGACTGAATCGTCTAGCTTTATAATTTATATTTTGTGATATTTTGTAAATACTCCCCTGCCCCCTGCACCCTCGCCCTCGCCCTCACCCTCACCCTCGCTTAGCTAATTTCCAAATTGTGCATGAATTTTGTTGTCTTAGTGTATAACTATTTAAATATCTATTATTTATTCTAATTGTAAGTCCAAAGTTGAAAAAATCAAAAAAGAAAGCAAACAAAAAAAAAGTATGCGAACAAAATAAAAATTGAACCGAAAGCATTTGAAACAAAAACAAAAAAACCCGCCCAATCTTCACGATTTGTTGTTGTCTTTCTTTTTTGTTGAAGTCATGCTGACTTTTTGGCAAACGGAATTCCCGCTTGGATCCAAACTTTTACGTCGATGATACGTTAATTTTCACCTAAGCTAAATCTTTTGCCCATGGCCCTTACATAATGCCCGTCTCTGTGCCCAACTATTCATCTAAGTATTTACTTAACACTTGAGCTCCAGCCACTCTCGAGAACCTCGAGGTCCACTCCAGTTGTGGCCACTTTGTCGGATGACGCAGTTCCGTGATAGAAGGCAGATGATTCCATTCGCTTGGAGTTTGCTTCTGCTATGACTTTCAGTTTTTTTTTTCCTACTTTTTGTTATTGTTCTGTCATAAATTATGTCAGTTCGATTCTATGCTAAAGCTCGAGCACCTGATTCGTTATTTATTTAAAAGATGACGTACGCTGATTTATTCATTGATATCAATCACAAATCTCTACATATAGTATATATATATATATTCTTATATACTTTCACATAAATCTTAAGGTGCTTAGTCATTCCGGCTGGGGAAATTTGTATGAATGCGTTGCACAACATCCTATAAAAGAGTTCAAGGAGTTCAAAGTGCAAGAAACTCTTCAGAATCTCAAGAGCTGCATCTTTATAAAATATATATTCAATATTTTCTACATTTATAGTAGATATCAACAAACTGGTTATCTTTACTAATTTGAGCACGTGGCGCTCACAAGTCAAGGTAATTGAACGTGAGGTTCTCTGCCCTTGAGTTCTCTATTGACTCTTACATATAACTAGCTAATTAGTTTAACTAAAAACCAAACGTGATTCGAACTTAAGCAAAACCTATTTGCATTTCATAAATTAATGAGCTGTACTAAAAAGTTCAATTTAAGTAAATTGCAATTGGTTTTTTTTTTCACATAAACTTTATTGTCGTGTAGATTTTGAGTGATTTTGTTGTTGTTGTTGTGTTTCTTAATTCTGATAGATTTTTGCGTAAACTAATGTTTACTTAAAGCACTTGACCGGCTATAATTGTAGCTAAAGCTCTTGGGCCTGGCCTGGACACAATCGGGCCTTTTGATTAGATAAACAAAGTTATTCGACTAAGATTTACTTATATTTTTGGTGTTTAGCTTTGATTTGTGCGGATTTCGTGCAGGTTTTAGGTTCTAAAGTGTTGCTATTCAAATAAATTCCTTCACGTGGAATCGTTTAACAAACTTTAGCAGCTCGCTGCTTTTTTTGGAGCACGCAATCGATGACCTCCACCACCTCCATGAAGATGTCTTCCACATCACGCTCGGCATTAATCTGGAAAATGAAAGCAATTGTGAGTGTGTATATAATGCGAATATATAGTTAAATTGGGACTGCATCCCGATCCCTTCATTTATCTAACCCTATTTGGAACAAGTTCGAGTCGGATTTGCAGTCCCGAGTTATATAGTTACCGTCATGGTTTTATCAGCATATAGTTCCAGTATGGCGCTGGTGTTGAGCTTGAAGGTTTGCAAGCGGGAACGGATCGTCGCCTCGTTGTCGTCGGCGCGCTTCACTTCGGCGGCATTGGCGCGTGCCAGGATGCGCTTCAGCATTGTGTCCTCGGAGCAATCGAAATAGAGGGCCAGGTCGGCGGGCGCAATTTTCTGCTCGAATTCAATGCCCTGGTTCTTCTCGCGTGGATAGCCATCGATGAGAAAGCCTTTGGAGATGCCCTTGGTCCGGGTCACGGCCGCGTTCAGCAGCGAGAGCACCTCCGCATTGGGCACCAGACCGCCACTCGTCATGATCTCCTGCAGCTGCCGACCCTTGTCCGAGCCAGAGGCCACCTGTGTGGGATTAAAGAGCGTAGCTTGAGAAACTCTGCTGTAGATGCAACTCGAATCTTACCTCCTCGCGCAACAAATCGCCGCTGCTCAGATGCGTGAAGCCATATTTCTCCACGATCTTGGCGCATTGGGTGCCCTTGCCGCAGCCAGGTCCGCCCAGAATCCAGATGATGGGTATGTCAGACTGTAAGAGAATAGCAGCAAAGGCGTGTCGGATTAGTAGGAGCCAAATAGCCAGACGGGCACAACAGCAATTAGCCAAGTTAGTGTTCACAGATTGGATGTAAGCCTTAGTCGAGTTAAATGGAGCAGAGTATCTAGAATTGTTTTGTTTTGAATTTTTCATAATTTATTTTTGTAATTTTCAGCCGCCACAGTGCATGCCATATATGGTACATCAATAGATAATCGTGGTATTTAATGCCCAAAGGACACGGTCATCCCGGGGGCTACTTACAACGGCTTGCGCCCTGCGCAGCTGCTCCGCTTTCAGTTTCTCTTGGGCCTCCTTCTTCATGGCCATTTGGTGACACATAAATAACTACACAAATGGAACGTGAATATAGGCAGAGAGGCAAGTACGTATCAATTGCATGGGCTGTAGGTTTTGATAGCTTCACAAGTTCATTGATTAATTATTCCAATTTTAAAATTGGAATTTAACAAATAACAAATAAAAACAAAAATAAAAAAGGTTAACGCTAACACGTGCAACATTTTTTATTTAAGAATCAATCTAGGAAACAAAAAAACCATAATCAGTTTAAATTCTCTTAATTAAGCAAACTATGAAGGAGGTAGAATTTTATAGACTTTCTAAAGAATTAGATTTATCAACTGTATTAAACCTTTTTTTTGCTTGATTTCGATGAAGGATTCTAGAGAAGCCCACCCAAAAATATCTCTAATATCTCTCCCGATCCCAGGTTAATTCTCCAAAAAAAGAAATATCTATTTATTAAAATATAATCCCTTCAAATTGTCTTAATTAAACAAACTATGAAAGTTGTAGAGCTTTAAAGAACTTATAAAGCATTTGTAGATTTTAAGGCTCTATTCAACTAAAAAGTTTTTTTCCCTGATTAAGATGAAGGATTATAGAGAATGCTACCCAATCCAAGAATTATTATTCCAAACAAGAAATACCTAACTCTTCAAATACAAACTATGCTAAGAGCTCAATTCAATCAAACACGAATTTCTAGCTATATATTATAGTTATAGAAAGTCAAGTCAAAGTAATTGATGGGTTCATCTATTTTGACAGCGTAAAAACCTCATAATCTAGACTAAATAACTAGATAGTATAGGGTGTGTATACTTAGTATATAGTTAAATTATAGTTATTAGTTTTGCTGGCATTATGCCAAAAACAAAATGTTTGCCGCCAACTTTCAAATACACAAAATTAGTGCAGCCTTCAAAAAGTTCTATATATACAAATATATTTATATATATATATCTGTACAATATACTATATATAGATTGTACAAATGCGAGTGTGCGTGTGTTCATAAATTGTAAGGCGCCAATTGACATTGATCTTGAACGCATTTAACTATATGTATATATATATATATATAATATTGGGGTAATGTTCTATTTAGATCTGGTATTTATCCAATCTAGATTTCGACTCAATTAACGCCCCATAGATTTTGCCTACCAGTTTATGGCGTAAATCGCAGAAAACTCTTGCTCTGATCTGGCGCACAAATCAAATTTTATAAACAAATAAAATTTGTTTTATTGCTGCCCAAACTACAGTTAGGCCCATGGGAATCTAGCTTGTGTAGGCGTAGAATTTTTGTATATTAATATTACCCTCTCTCTCTCTCTCTCTCTCTATATACATATATATATTATATATGGCCCCCCTGTTGTCGTTTCGACTGTTCCGCATTGTCGCACCTAACGAACAATTCGTTCAGGAATTAAAGAAAATATATATATAGTATAGAAAGAGAGGGCGAGAGGAAGGGAAACCACATGAATGAATTTGGGGGCCGTGCAGGTTGTTTTTTCCTCATAAATATTAACACTTATTGTATTTGTAGCGCATAAATTTTGTTGCTCTTAATCTCGCACGAGTTCTTTTTCACAAATTCTCACAATTTTCAAAGCATTTTCTTTTTTTTTTTCGTTTTTGTTAGTTGTGTGTGAGAAATTTATGTTTTTCAATGGCATTTACGTAAGTTGTTAAGATTTGTTTTTCGTGTATTGGTTCAGCGACCTATGAATGACATTTGCAGGGATACGACGGGGTTTTGGTATCGATTCAGTTCCTTAGACGCGTGTTACACTTAAATATTTTATAGAACAGTTGTTGAAATTCCCAACAAGTGTGCTTAAGTTTTAAAAACCCGCGAGCGCACACACAGACACACACACACACTTGAAACCCAAACGGAACTAAAGGAATTTTTATTATAGCCGACTATTTTGTTGATTTACGTACATATATATATTTTTAGTGCAAAAATTCCATGCGTCGCGACATTGTGTCGTCGTCGCCGTCGTTTAAACAATATTCAACTAACCAAAGCCCAAACTAACAAACAGAAGAGTGAAAAAAACTCCGGCTTGGAGTCGCCATCGCCATAATGATGACTGACTAGTTCGGGTAGCCACAATAAACAGATTCTCGCTAATGAATCAAGCCCCGCCAGAAATTCCTGTGCCGCCAGCTTTAACCTGTCGATAATTTTATGCAAATCTTTGGACTTTGACGTCAAAAATTCGCCTGGCTTGGAATGTGAAATTTTTGTTTTTGTTTTGTTTTTGTTTTTTATTGGCCTTTTCAGTTGTTAATTTTTTGACTCAGTTATTTTTATAGCCATGCAGCGGGCAATTGAAGTTTGTCACGAAATGTGTAACGCATGGAAGAAGAAGATTTCTCTAACTTATAAGAAATCTATAGATTGTTATTAACCTCATGGATCGAATAATATAACTAACTTTTTTATTATTTAAGATATCTATGCTCCTTAAATATGCGCAATATCTTATCAAATTCAGGCCATTAAATCGTAAAGCTCCGAAAAAAAGAATTGGTCAAATTTCCCTTCTTATACGAATAAGTTTTTTATAACTGTCCAAATTTGGCATTTACGAGCTTAACCAAGCATATAAACAAAATCTTATCAACTTGGGACTATATACGAAATGTTTCTCCGTATTTGCAAGGGTATTCAAACTTCGGCGAGCCAAAGTTAACAGTTCTTTCTTGTTTGTTTCTATTGTTGCTTTTTTGGCCAGTTATTTTTGCTGTTGTTGTTGTGGGAATTTCACAGGCACACAAAACGGGCACACTGGTAACCGGCTCGCCTCTTCGTATTTACAGCTAACAGCTGATGCCGCGCAAACCCAAGCAAACGGCTTGTACGCATGTATGTAAGTATGTAAATTTGTTTGTTTGCTTGTTTGTTTCTAAGTGCTCAGTAGAAATTGCACAAGGTCAAGTGGGTAGCGATGTAGAGCCAGAGCTTTGAGCGGGTCCGAAGGTCAATCGTGCCGAGGATTGCCCTACACCCTAATCTATCTAAACAATCGTTCGTTCGCGTTTCTGTTGGTTGTGGTAACGCAAACAATTTCAAATCAAAGTGAAAGCCACAAATTGTTTATAGAGAAATAAACTAGTACACACACACACGCACACACACATACTCACCATGATGATGTATAATATAAGGTATATGAGGCGCTGATGCGGGCGTTTTGCTAAATAAATCGCGAAATGCTTCGAGTGTAAGAGTCGCTGCTAAAGCTTGTTGTTGTTGTTGTTAACTTGCACAGAATTTCGGTGTTCTTGATTTTGATTTGTTTTTCTTTTGTGTTGCGGCCAATTCTTTTCCGTTATGGCGAATTTCCACCCTTAATGCAGCGTGTGTCGAGAGCGACTGAGTGTAAAGCTTTCGCTAACGGTTTCGAAAAGCTAATGCCATGCAGCTTTGGTTGAGCTTTGTCGCTTATCGCTGCCGCGTACTGTGGTGCGTGTGTAGAAAAGTGTATTAAAAAAAAAACGAACTAACAATACTTTTCAAGTTTCCAAATGTATATTATTAAAGCTATCAATTTTGATTAATATGGCAATGTATCCAACATATTGTCGTGCCTATGGGCCCATTGATATGTGAGATTCGCCCCTCCTGTCCAGTACCTCCAGGTTGGGTATAACTTCTTCGAAGACAGCATAGGCATCGCGATCCCCGTTAATTTGCAGGGTTTTGCTGCCATATTGTTCCAGTATGGCCTGCATATTAAGCTGATACATGTGAGCCGTTATGCTGGGTCGTGCACCCTGGGCGGAGCGACGCGTTTCAAGCGTCTCCTGGCCCACATCCAGTGCAATTATCAAGTCCGGCGAGCCAATGCGCTGCTCCAACAAATTGGCATCCTCTTGATTTTGCGGATAGCTGTGTATATAGGTTTTTTAAATGGGGTTTCTGTAGGGCTTGTGTTTCAGTTACCCGTCAATGACAAAGCCTCTAACGCCGCTTCTGTTGCCCATTATATCCGACTCCACCTGCAGTATGATATCCCCCAAAGGCACCACTTGGGCATCATTGACTGTTGCAGCAAATTGATTGCCCTGCTCCGATTCGGCTTCAATCTGCGTAAATTTTCATGCTAAGACTGGAATGTATAAGTCTATATATATATGTATATATCTTGCCTCGTGCTCTACCATTGCGTTGATATCCACATGCTTGTAGCCATATTTCTGAACTATATTCTGCGCTAGAGTCGTCTTGCCGCTGCTTGGTCCACCCGTAATCCATACAATTGGTACATTCTGCAAGGATAGGTAAATGCATATATAATTTATGTACGCATATCATTTAATTATACATTTACCATGGCTAGTTGGCAATTTTGGTTAGGTACAGCCAAAAAGTTTTAGAAGTTTTTATATATTTGGAAAAGTTTGAACGAAATATGACATATTTCTGATATATTAGGCTTTAACAGCGTACACATTGTACGTTCGTTGTATATTAATTGTGGCGCATTTTATTGACTCGCATATAAATTAGCTAACAATTATATATACACAATTGATTGAGCTATCTGAGCAATCAGCAGCTGATATAATAAATAAACGCCTGTATTTGTTTTGATTCGCTAACGGATATGACGAGCAGCGGCGCGGTGTGCTCCGCCTGCTGCTGCTGGCGCTGACATTTGAGGATCTCGTTGTGTGTGGGAAATGGCTCACCGGGGGGTAGAATAACCACGCTGAAAGTGGGCCCCTTTGGCGCACTGCGTCTGAAACCCTCGTTGTGCATATGTAAATCGAAGGTGATCTTAAAACTGCGCAATCTTGCATCTTGATCGCTGTCGTAGTCGGCGCCTTGCAGCTGCACTATGTCCAATTTTTGGAAGATTTGCTGAAATTTTGCATAGCTTGCCTCCGCTTTAAGATTATCAACGAGGCTTTTGCTTGATGTATGTGCTCTTTTACTGGCCATCTCCTCTTGCGGCTCTGACTGAGCTCTGCGTTTGCGCGTCTCAAATATAAAGTTGCTTTGCAGATCACTCTCCATGCCGTTCTCATCTGTGATAGCCGTTGTCTGGCTTATTATCTGCTGCTTCAGCTCCGCCATGCGCGCCTGCGTGGCATTAAAAGACACGGATGATTTGATGTGAGCCGGCACAGGTTTATTGCCCAAAGCCTCCTCCAACAGAGCCCAAATACAGTCCTCGCTTGTAACCGAGCTAGTTGAAGTTGTCTGTGCCGCTGGGCAGGCAGCTTGATGCTTGACAACTATATAGCCAGCACGAGACAATGCCGAGTATACCAAATAATTGTTGTACTTGTCGCTAGCTGCCTCGCCAAGCAGCAGCACGTAGGCCTGCTCCACGGACACAATCATATCGCAGTACTCCAGTTGAAGGCGGTTCTGCGTTAATACAACATGACATGATCAAAATCAAAACAATATTTTCATAGTATACACACTAATTCCAGCAAAAATAAAGCCTCGTAATATTCCAAATAGAATTTGCCATGTTGGCTGTAGCCAAAGCTCTCAAATTTGCCATCTTTGCGCAGCACTTCGACTGCCTGTTGATCGTGGCGCCAAACAGCTATGGCGCGTCCCGCTTGTCGCTCGATGCGCCTAGCGGACAATTGGCGACGCAAATTAGCTGCAATATTATAAAGATATTTATAACTTAATGCAATTAATAAATTATGCGCATGCTTACCATAGGCATTTTTCAGTTCCTCTTGTTCGGCTGCGCTGCCTTCGATGCTGGTTCGTTTGAGTCCGTTATGCGGGGTTTCAGCTTCAGCATGACGTTGCGCAATAAGCTCTGCAGCACTAAATATACTTTTGCAGTAATGTTTATGTTAATATAATTGATAACTCACCTTAAATACTCGGTTTTTGGTTTAATTTCAATCACATTTGCTGGCGCGCTGCTCATTTTACAAGCCGAAAACAGCTGTTTTCTGCGGCGTTGCCAGACCAATTGCAACAGAACCTGCGCAAGCGGAGCTAGTTCTCTAGTTCCAAGCAACTATATAGTTCACTTATTTTCGCTCCCGTTGCAATATCTACGAATTAAGGTAATTTTCATTGATAATTGTGTTTTTGAAAGAAACTGAATGTTAATTTGTGTTGGGTGATGCACAACTGCTCAATTGCTGTTTGTTGACATAAACTAAAACAACCACAAAGCGCGTAAAACTGTACCAACGAGAGTGTCTCTCTTATATGCACGTTTTTTGATGTTTTCCGTGGTCACCAGGCCTCCCCCTACCAAAGCCTTCAACTTGCTGATAATAACCAAACGCTTGCGCCACTATTATCGCAGCATGGACTGCACGGAGCTGCTGCCGCCTGCCTCGGTGCGCGGCATGACTGTGCTGCAGCGCGCGGAGTTTCAAAAACGCGTGCAAATTCCCAGGCTGAGAGTGCCCGAATCGCAGGTGCAGCGTGTGATTCCGCTGGTGAAAAAGCTGCTGCTCAAAATGGAGCATCTGCAGCCGGTGCGTGCCTTAGAAAATGAGCGTGAAATTCTGTTGCATCCATTGCCCGTCAAGAGCTGGCAATCGCTGCCAACTGCGGAGCTGGAGCAGCAGCAGGTGACGTCAGAGAATTTCTGCCACGCGGAGCTCGAGCTGAGCTACGAGAATTGGAGCGCCAATGAAATATTGAAGAGCGTCCTGCCAGCTGACGAGGAGGGACTCTCCTCCTTTTCACGCATTGGCCATATTGTGCACTTGAACCTGCGCGATCATCTGCTGCCCTACAAACAGCTCATTGGAGAGGTGCTGCGCGACAAGCTGCCCAACTGCCGCACCGTGGTCAACAAGGCAGCCTCCATTGACAACACCTACCGCAACTTTCAGCTGGAGCTAATATGCGGAGAGCCGGAGTATCAGGTGGAGACCAAAGAGAACGGCATACCCTTTGAGTTTGACTTTTCCAAGGTGTATTGGAATCCACGTCTGTCCACCGAGCACGAGCGCATTGTCAAGCTGCTGCAGCCAAACGATGTCCTGTACGATGTTTTTGCTGGCGTTGGCCCTTTCAGCGTACCAGCAGCCAAGAAGCGCTGCCAGGTGCTGGCCAACGATCTAAATCCCGTCAGCTATCACTGGCTGCAGCACAATGCCAAGCGCAACAAGTGTCTGGCGCACATCAAGATGTACAACAAGGACGGCCGGGAGTTTATACTCCAGGAGCTGCGTGAGGATTTGCTGGAGCGTTGGCGCACCCCAGCAGCCACGCCCTATAGTATCCATATTACCATGAATCTTCCGGCAATGGCTGTTGAATTTCTGGATGCATTTCGCGGCTTGTACACAGTTGAAGAGCTGGCCGAGCTGCCAGCGAGCCTCAACTATCCGCAAGTGCATGTTTATTCCTTTGCCAAGGGAGAGAACACCAAGATCCTGGTGCAGCAGCTGGTGGAAAGCAATCTGGGCGCAGTGTTGGGCGACGAGCTGCAGTGCATCAGTTTTGTGCGCAATGTGGCGCCCAACAAGGATATGTACAGAGTAACCTTCAGCCTGAACCGAACGCTGCTGACCACATCAAAGCAGACATTGCGCAAGCGTCCCTGTCCTGCAGAGGAGGAGGAGGAGAAGGAACACGTAGCGACAGCAGCAGCCACAAAAGTGAAATGTGTTTGATCAAATGAACAATAAAGTTTTTATGTACAAAAAAAACGCGTTTCTCCTTTGTATTTGCAGCTTCGCCATGGGACGCAACAAGGCCAATGCTAAGAAGGGAGCAGGAGCGGCAGCTGGAGCAGCTGCAGGCAAGGCGGCTGCCAAGCCGGCTCTAAATAAGTCCAAAAAGTCAAAGAACGTTTTCAAGGTGGCCAACAACAAGGGCAAGAAGAAGCCCAAGGAAGTCCAGGGCAAGCTGAAGCAGGTGAAGAAAGCGACAAATTCCCAACCCCAACAGGCATTCCAAACCTAAACCAACCTCAATATTTTCAGATCAAAGAGACAGTCAAAGCCAAGCAGGAGAAGGTGGATGCCACACTCAAGGTGCTTCACAAGGATATGGTCGTAAAGAAGCCCAAGCCGGCAGCCACGCCCATTAAGAACAAAAAAAAGCCGGCGGCCAATGCTACCAAAGTCTCCGATACTTTGGGCAAGCTCAAGTTCTGAACAGCGTTCGATTAAATAAATGCAATTTGTTAGTTCTGTTAGTTCAAAGATTACATAAATATATGTATCAATATATATAAAGCTATGTGTCCTGACTGGCCCGGGCAATGCCGGGTAATACCCAACACGCATATTCTATTATACCAAACGCAGATCAACTTTATTTAATTTCTTTGATAACTCCCCCTGCTTCGCTGCAAAATTTAAAAAAATGATAATCATACTTTGTATGTTTGTATGTATATATGTATGTATGTATGTGCGCATGTCTGTATGTGTGTATGATGCATGTACGTATGTGCGTGTGTTTGCCTGAAAGTTTTCCTACAGCAAACGCAGTACAAGTTTACTTCCCACTGCGCTGTTCATTTGAAAATAACGTCTGTTGAAATGCTGCCCTCCTCCTCGATTCTCAAAAATTCAAGTAAGACTGGCAGGCTTCCATGCCTTTCTTACAAGTGTTGTGTGTTTGTGTTGTGTTAAAAAGTGGTGTTAGTATATAAATGTGTGTGCTAATAAGTATGTAAGTAAGTGTGTGTGTGTATGTAAGCATGTATGTATGTGTGTAATGCATATGCGTGCATGCATATATATATACATGTCAGTATGTATGCATGCACGTATATATGTATCTACGCATGCACGTATGTATGTACGCATGCACGTATGTATGTACGCATGAACGTATGTATGCACATATGCTTACATGTACGCATGCACGTTTTCTTGTATGCACGCATGCACGTTTTCTTGTATGCACGCATGCACGTATTCTTGTATACACGCATGCACGTATTCTTGTATGCACGCATGCAGATATGCGTACATGTACGCATGCACATATGCATGCATACACGTATGCATGATTGATAAACTAACTTCATACTTCTGTTTTTTTTTTCAGTGATGCGCATATATAAAGGACTGTTCTCTCCTGCTATTGGATGCAATTTTTTGGGTAAGTACATATTTTCATATATATTGATGTACAAATGGAAATATACATATGGACATGGGCCATCTTAGTTAGAGGATTAGTGAGCCTCCAGGCATCACGACAGCGCCAGACGGCACAGTGGGCGTGGGCGAGGGCAGGGTCGTAGCTGTTCCGTTGGTAGCCTGCCAGCCAAACAGTTCACGGATTATGGTATCCAGCTGTGTGGTGTCTATGCCCTCCGCCTGAAGCTGGGCGAGCACCGCCTGTGTGGCGGGCAGGGCCACCCAACGATCGTAGACGACCTTCAGGGCGCCCAGACGCTGATAGAACTGCGCGAAGATGCCCATCAGTTGCACCTTGGCCTGGATATGGGCACTAATGGCGTAGCGCGGAAAATACATCTCCAGCTCGTTAAGGAATCCCTGCCAGCCGTAGACGGTGCCCGACAAGTAGGGATAGCGATTGACCAGCGTCATGCACACCTCGATCTCCTCCATCTCGAATTTGCCACTCGAGGCCAACAGCTGCTGGTTGACCCATTGCCGGAAGAGCACAACCTCCGGCTGGGCCAGCAGGCGCCAGTGTGCCATGAAGCCCGCATTGCTGTTCAGAATGCGCACAAACGCCTGGAACTGGGCATCGTTGAGCAGATAGCGCACAAACAATTGATTCATGGGCTTGAACTGTATTAGGTTAAAGATATCCATTAGATCCTGGGCCAGGTTAGGTGGCGGTCCCACGGGTCCAACTGCACCATTGCCGGGCGCATCCAAAGCTGGTCGGATTGCAGCCTCGCACAGGCCGCAGCCTCCCAGGCAGAGCAGCAAGAACCAGGCGTATGTAGCTGCCATTACGTATTTCGGACGAGTGTGCTTTTGGCCATAGAAGCATCTGCTTTTTATGCGACGCCTGAGCTGTTTACCCAGCTGTGATAAGTCCAGAGATTTTGTCGCAGCAGCCTCTGTTGACACAAGCGAAGACGTCGTCGTCCGCGTTGCCGATAAGAAAGTCACCCGATTCGATCTGTTTATAGTTGGATATAATATATTATCTTGCGTTTCACCGGAACTAACTGATGGCCGCCGGGTAATTGTTTTTGTGTGCTTTATTTCTCAAGTAAAAAGTAAATGAGCCGAAAATATCCAGAAAGACCGACAATTAACCGCAAACAAACACAAAATATGGCATTAGGCCTAGACCACAACACATAACAAAGGGTTGCTTAAGTATATCAAATGATTCATATATAGCCAACCGATTCCCATCTGGCAGATAATACACGAGTTCATAATAATATGACGTCATCTCTAATAGCTCAAAGTCGACATACTAGAATAGACTCGGAATCTCAAATATCTTCATAATGGAAGAAATGGAAAAAAGACCAAATATGGAATAGGCAGGGAGTATTTGGAGGGAATCAATGGACGATCCATTAGGGGATTATATAATCCTTCAAGAAATAGGAAGGGAGTATTGGAAGGAAATTCATGGACGATCTATTATTGGATCGTAAAGGAAACTTAAGAAACTTTCTATAATAAGATAAACATGTTCTCAAAACCTAGGTTAAGAATAGCAACCACGACAAATCGGAGGAAAAGAGGGACCATTAAAAAGATCGGGAATATTCCTTCGTTTTTTTTTTTCAAACGGACAAAATATGAAATCGTGCAACAACTTGTTTTCTTTTGCCATGAGCATATATACGTCATACATGACATATAAATATGTCTGCCATATCGCTAAGATCGGTCAGCTATAACATTCGAAAGAGCGTATACGTGTATGGGGTTATTCATAAGAAGTTCGTAATGGATCCGAACTTGTGGGGCTTAAGCTTAAAATACATACGAGCGTACAAGGATTGATAAGAGCTAACTTAACCAATAAACGCATGACATGAACGGGGGAAGGAAGGAGCAGGAGGGCCACCTTTGTCCGTGCTAGGCGCCTCCATCGTTGCCCCTGCGTCGCAGCCAGCTGGGCATATAGCCGCGCAGCGCCTCGCCCAGCTGGCGATAGATCATGAGCGCCAGTATGGGCAGGACGAGGCGTGCGTCCTTGAACAGATAGACATAGCAGGCGACCAGGAAAAGCACCAGATCCGTGGCGTAACTCAGTGCGGAGCGCACCTTCTCATGCGCCTGCTCTTCGGAGCGTGATTGCACCAGCGCCAAGCTGGCCGCCTTCTCCAGCAGCTCTCGATCCGCAGCGGACAGCAGCAGCGCCGCCTGCGAGCCGGTCTCCAGGGTCGGCGGTCTGCTCAGCGAGGCATCGCGGGAGCGCGTGCTGGAGGGCACACGCCGCTTGATCACACGCTTGACCTTCACCAGGCGGGTGCGTCCACGTGCATCCGGACGCGCTTCGACTATTTCGCTAAAGACGCTTTCGTTGCGCTCCTCAGCTTCTTTTTTATTCTTGGACTTGGGCGGCGGCACCACCAGCACAGTGGGGTATTCAGGCTCTTGGTCGTCCTCCTCCTCTCGCTGATCCTGCGGCGTTTCAGGCGCCTTGTGCATGGCATGACTGCTGGCCGCATCCCGCACATGCACGAGCTGCTCGCGCTCCGAGATGGACAGACGACGCTCGCGATTGGCGCCGGGTGGCGCCAGCAGCAGCTGCTGCTGCTCCTGGTCATCGCTGCGTGCCCGACGCTGTTGATGCTCCGCTGCGGCGCCCTCATCGTCGTCGTCATCCCCAACGCCCGCCCGGGCAGCGGCGCGTTTAAGCTCATCCCGGTCGAGGTAGAGCGGCTTGTGGTATTTGTGGGTGCTGCTCACCAGGCGCACCAGATCGCTATAGTGATCGACAGCTGCGTGCGCCTCCTCCTGCATGAGTCGCTCCTCCTCCTGGCGGCGCAGCTCCTCCTCCTCCTTGACTTTGCGCTTCGTCTCCAGCTCCACCGCAATGGCTGCGGCATTGGTCTTCTCCAGCGGATTCGAGATTTCCTCATTGGCCTCGGTGTTCTTCTCGGTGGCAGAGCGTTTATCCCGACTAAAGAATGACTTAATGCCCTTGGCCAGATCCAGTTTTAGATTGCTCGCACTTGGAGCGGCGACGGGAGTGGCGGCGACAGGGGATGCACTGGTGATGACTGCACCATTTCCGGACTCCTGTTGCGGATCGGGGCTGCTGGGCTGACTGGTGGACTGCTCCACATGCTCGTTGGACGAGCGCTTCAGTATGGGCTTGGGCACAAAGTCCGGACTGGGCAGCGGCATTGGCCGGTTGAGCACCACAGCCGCTTGTTCCGGAGTCGGAGCACGATACGGCGTAAAGGTGCCGGCGCCCATGTTGCGCGGATGATAGGTCTCCAGGTCGCGCGGACTGGGCGAGCGTGTGCGTGCCATTAGCTCCATTTTGAACTTCTCAATGGAGTCCTGGTCGGAGGTGGCCGTGCTCTCGGTGTAGTCCGAGCCGAGATGGTAGCCCTGCTGCTGCTGCTCGTCATCCATGTCCATGTCCATTTGCTCGCTGTCCTCGGCTGTGCTTTCCGTGCGCTCCTCCTCCTCCTCCAGATCCTCCTCCCGACTGTCGCCGTCCCTCGCCTGCAGGTTGAGCAGCCGCTCCGTATTGGCGCGTGTCAAGTTCTTCAGATCAACAATGTTGATGTTTTC